GGGCCCAAGGACTTGGGCCATCCTCCACTGCACTCCCTGGCCACAGCAGAGAGCTGGCCTGGAAGAGGGGCAACCAGGACAGAATCTGGCACCCCGACCAGGACTAGAACCCGGTGTGCCGGCGCCTCAATGCGGAGGATTAGCCTAGTGAGTCGCGGCGCCAGAGCTCCTGGCTATTGACTTTGGCCTGGTCCAGCTCTGGGCATTGCAGCCATTTGGGGAATGAACCAGCAGTTGGAAAATTCATTCTCTCTCTCTCTCTCTCTCTCTCTCTCTAATTCTGTATTTCAATAAATAAATAAATCTTTAAAAAGTGAACCCCAAATGGATAAGGATAGAAATCTATGACCTGATACCATCAAATTACTGTAGGAAAACATCAGAGAAACTCAAATTTATTTTTGAATTTCACTTTCATGAAAAGATATTCAATCAGACTAGGATATACAACAAAGAGATTGGGATACTACCAAATTTGCCAGTATTAATCGAAATATGCCTCTTTAATACAAAAGAAAGGCACTCCTGCTGGCAACCTCCATATGACTCCCAACTACATGACAGTTTAAATAAATATATCTGAGAACATAAACCAGAAAAAAGGTTTGTTATTGGAAATGGTAAAAGCTTCACTATAGTAGAACCAGTCACACCACTATAATTACAAGAACAAAAAGCAAAGCATGGCTTGGTTAAATTTTTCCCTTGTATTTGTTATTTTACCCCTTTGAGACTAATTATACCTCTTCCTATTGGTTTTAACAAGCACTCTGGATTAAACACTACACTAACTGGTCAGAGACAGCAGCACTACGTAAGTATATCTGTACTGTCTCCATTCAGGAAAAAAATGGCAATGTTACAGAACTATATTGACAAATATTGTCTCCTAAGAAAACAAAAACATCACATCCAAGATACACTGCATGCACGCATACACACACACACACACACACGGGAAGTAATTTATCATTTAATGTTCAATAAATGCTCTCGATATTCATATACTTTCTTCTCAACAGCTTCAACAACTAAGTGATCAACATTATGTCAGTATTCAAAATCATCCTTGATGAGATCGATGACAGGGCTTACCCAAGTTTACTGCATATCTGCCCCATTTTATATCACAAGATATTAAACCACAATGACATGCTGCAGGACATCAGGAGGACTCTAGTGCCATGGAAATGCAGGGAGTTCTCATAATAGGGGATGCCCTCAGCCAGGGATTCACTGGTGTTTCCTGGGAGAGACACCAGCCTTGTGTACAGAACATGTCTGGAACATCTGGGGATGCACTGATGGCAAGCACTGGCATTCACGTAACTGGATGCAACTGCTCTGGTGTGCTCCTGAGGTTAAACCTAATGCAATACTCACTATGTGCTAGGAGGTATTCCACACTCTTTCAATGCCCCCCAAATTTCTTTTAAATCTTAATTTTCATCAAGAATTCATCCAATTTTATATTCTATAAAGTTATTTATTTTCATATAAAAATGCTTTTGCCACAAAGCTTTGGGAAAAATGAATGCTCCAAGAACCTCCAGAGCCCCTCACAGAGATGACCACACGTGTCCAAATGAACAAGCAGCCTGTTTGGAGAATTGAAGGTCAGACAGGTTAGAGGAAAAATAGATAAATAGATGTCTGGCTGACGCTCTGCTCTTTCCCAATTTATCTCTGCAGAATCCCTGCCCAAAAACTTTTTTTTTCCAAAAAGAAATGGTTCTCACAGCACTTGACAGAACAATTAACACCCAAGGAAACAAGTTACAGTGCTAGCTTCTGCCTTCACACATACAAAAGAATACTTTCCAGGCTGGAGTAGCTCCAGCTGTAAGCCGACGCATAACTGTTTAATCCTACGTAAGACTGTAATTAAAACTGTGGACACCTACTTCCTCAGATGTGGACTCAAGTCTTCCAAAGGTTTTAGATCCAACCATCAAGAAACAGCAGCAGAGCTGCAGTGACATTCTGCTGTATCTAACAACATGGTCAGGAGAAAGATCTGCACTGGATGTGTTAACCTCCCAAGTACATCCTCCAGTTCTCTCAACATCATTTTTGACAGAAATTGTAAGCCAATAAAAGTTTCCTCCTAGTCACTCTCATCTATTCTTTCTGGCTGTCTGTTGTAAACCTCCTGTCCTGGGGACCTAGGACTTTTTTTTTTTTTTTTTTTGATTGATTGACAAGAACAACTTCAGTTTCCATGACACTAATAATTTCATTCTTAAACAAACACAAACACACAGGGGACTTTTGTCCAGGAAATAATTTCCCCCAAACCTCTTAGAAAAAAACAATAAAACCAGCAACATGGTAATTTTAAAGTCTGAGCAATTGATGGACTTTTGAATTTGGGGAGACACCTCAACTCCAAATGGGAAAACAAAAACATACACTTAACAGCATTTTCTCCTTTGTCATCAGATCTGAAAGTTCTTCCTGGCACCAACACAAAGAAGTAATGATTCCATCAGCAGCCTAACAGATGGCAGGCATGGAATGGCTCTAACCTTCTCCAAAAACGCTGGAGAATAGCTCTGTGGAGTTTAATTTAACAGGATGGTGGTTGCTATTTTCTCTCTGCTGCCTCTTGCACAGCATGCTTGTCCATAGCTCCAAGAGCTACATCTTACGGTCTGGCCATGCCGTCAGCCAGGTTAACCCTTCAAGACAACCAACTGCTTGGAGTTATTATGTGATCCTGGTTCTCTACGGGATTCTGTTCCAACAAATGCAACTCAGACCTTCTGATCATAAAAAAAAAATGGGCTGCAAGTGGGGAATTTTTAGTACTTCTTTTCTTCTATTAGTATTTAAAAACACTGTAACTTTTTTCATGGATAGTAAATTAGATTTCTCCGAAGAATTAGAAAGGAGAAGTATCCTATCTCAAACTTTCTACTCTTTCTTTTTTTTAAAGATTTGTTTATTTATTTGAAAGACAGAGTTACACAGAGAGAGAAGGAGAGGCAGAGAGAAGGAAAGGCAGAGAGAGAGAGAGGTCTTCCATCTGCTGGTTCACTCCCCAACTGGCTGCAACAGCTGAAGCTGCACCGATCTGAAGCCAGGAGCCAGGAGCCAGGAGCCTCTTCCAGGACTCTCACACAGGTGCAGGGGCCCAAGGACTTGGGCCATCCTCCACTGCTTTCCCAGGTCACAGCAGAGAGCTGAATCGGAAGCGGAGCAGCCAGGACTCATATGGGATGTCGGCCCTTGTAGGGTGCTTTCTAGTACTCATATGGGGTGCCAGAGCTTTAGGCCAAGGCGTTAATCCAGTGAGCCACAGTGCCAGCCCCTCTAGCTAACTTCTTAACAGTCACCACTTATGGGAGAACATTACAAGAGGACTTCAAAGTATGTGGAAAATGAGTATTATGAAAAAAAACTGCACGGATTTCAAAATTTTTGCACCAAAATAAACATCTTTTAATTACATTCTTGCACATTTTTTTAAAGTGATCTCATACTTCTAAAGTTTATAGGAATTGCTGTCATTGCCACAGGATCACCAAGGGAGCTTTATGCCATTCTGATGGAGGGCTACAACCCAGACCAATAAACTAGAAAGAATCTCTTGGTGGGAGGGGGGAGGGTGTAAATAGGCATCAGCATTTTTTTCAAACTTCCCAGATGACTCCAGTGGGCAGAAAAGATATAGAAGAAACATTGCACTTTAAGTGTTAAATACTCTATTTTAAATTTCTGTAAGTTTAAGTTAATGTCTATTGCAGGTCCCTACAGCACTGGGTTTGCCACTCGTAGGACTCTCCCTCACCACCCACCTCTCCAAGGCGTTTGTTAGGGTTGTGGAGTTTCTAAGACTTGGCCAACACTGGTCAGCAAGTCCCTCACCTCCAGGGACATCAGGAAAACACGGTGCTGCAGTCTTGAAGTCAAGAATGTCTTCAGTCCAGGCTGTAAAAGTCTGAACACTCAAGGTAAAAAAAAAAAAAAAAAAAAAAAAAAATTGTGCCTGAACCTACTGTGCCCTGCTATCAGTGTGCACTGCAAAGTTCCCACCTGGCCCAGACGAGGTGGACTATGCAGGTCAGCTCCACCCTTCTATATAGAAGACTGAGCCTAGAGACAAGCCATTTTCTGACTAAGGGTATGGTACGGCCCTCACTAACTTGAACGTAATCATACACTTATATAAGTGTGCTGGTGGGCTTTGAGCCCAACAATCTTTTTTGTTGTTGTTGTTACTCACCTCCCCTCTGTGTATCCTACGTCGACTTACTTTCTCCATCCTGTAAGTAAGTTATCATCATTTAGTTTACCCACAAGGCAACCATGTCTGGTTTTCCCATTGATCAGTGACCATTACTAACAACTGTCAGTATAATGGTGCTGAAGCCTTTTACTGAACCACTAGACCAAACCAAAGACAAATCTTGCCTTTCTCTTGCACATAGGAAGTGTTCAGTAAACACCGGCTGAACAAGGACTCTATTCCATAGGTAAGGTCACTACCACACTCTTGTTCTAGGCAAAAAGAAAAAACAATAAAGCATTAATAGAGCTTAAGCAAGGTATTTTGGTAACATGACACACACACACACACTTAAACAGATTCAAGTAAAAAGGGACAAATAAAGGGATAAAAGTGAGTTTCCTGGAAACAAAGTGCTGAAGCATTGCTGAGCCTCACAGGTCAACCAGAAATTACCCTCTCTCTCCTTTCCTCTTTGGAGGAAAAGCACCGTGCTTTTGTGTGCCCGTGCTGGGCTTCCTTTTACTTCCATTCTGCTAACCCTGGTCCCTAGCTCCATTAGCACAAGACCCACACACGTCACTCAAAAAGGGTGGTCTCTGCTAATTTCTGGGAGCAACCCAAATGGCTCACCTTGGTTGAAGAACAGTGCTTACCACATATGGCTGTAGATGAAAAGGACCAGGATCATTACTACAAATGCCAAATATAAACAGATCTGATGCAAATGATACTCACCCTCCATAAAATTAGAAGCCATGCATAAGTATCAGTTGTCACACATTTATTTCAGAATGGCTGCAGGACAGAATTTCACAGGTACATTTATACAACAAATTTATAGCTCTAAACCATAGTAACAGTGAATCAAAAACACTTTATCTTGCATAAAAACTTGGCCTGAGAAATTTTCATTTAAATTTTAATTCACTTAAGTTACACATACAAAAATACAGAACACAATTGAGGGGACAATTTGTGGATCAGGAGAAGCTATTTTCAGCAACATCTCACTTCTGTTGAGGTCACAGACCTGACCATTGCAGCTGAGGATCAGGAAGGAAGTTGGTGGAAGGTAGCTAATCACTAAAATAATGCCCCCAAGTGCCCTGAAACTAAGTTCACTCATTCAATTGCTCGAAGAGCCTCTCAAAACCTCAATTACTCTTACCCAACATATAGTATGCAGTTACATGATGTGCCTGTCCAGAGCAAATTAGAGTAAGACTCCCAGAGGCAGGCACGGTAGTGAGCAAGAGACTGACAGATATCAGTGGAGGAAAAGAACAAAATTACTAAAAATCGCTGTGGACTCAGGGAGCAGACACATTTGGGCCATTCAGTACAGGTGCTTTACCAAAACCACGTGGGACTTGAAAGAATTAATGACATAAATGATGACCTGAAAAGACTTACTTATCTTCAGAAGATTCAGTTTGCAAAAGCTGGGAAATGCATACTAAATGTAAAAGTAGGTCCACATAAACAGTTGAAATGAAGCAAAAAAGATGTGGAACAAAAACATATCCTTGGGATCTTTCTTCCATGCACCCCACAATGTTGCATACATGGAATGCTAGTATGTAAACACGGTTTATAATATAGACAAAGTAATTTATAGACAAAAATACAGCACTATTTCCATCCATTTATGACTGAAACTATGAAAGCCATTTCCTGGTCAAAACACCTCAACTTGTGGAAAGAGCTTAAGTCAGCCTCTCTTTACATTAGAGCCTTATCCTGGGTACTGAGTAATCAACTGTATTGATCAGTGGCCCAACTGACTTCAAAATCTTCTACATGACACGAGACATGGAGACCAAAAACCACCACCCTAAATCAGTATTTCTCAAAATGTAGTCAGTGGAGCAAAATAACCTAGTCTCCTAGAGAACTTGTTTTACAATGCAGATCCGAGTCCCAACTGAAATTATATAAATCAGAATTGCTGAGAGAAGGCCTGAGAACCTGCATTTTGGCACACCCCAGCAAGGATGTCTGGTGCAGGAGGAAGTCCAGGAATCACACAGTAACTCGTCACCCTAACACAGCCGGTCACAATGAGTCTGGCCAAGCCTATGAACTAACCCTTACCCACTCCTGTTCTTAGCATGCCCGAGAAGGCTGCATGGCTGCTTTAGGCATTTCTTACATCACAGAGTAGATAACAAAGCTAAATAGGAGCTTCTAAATGTTTTATTACAAGACATACAATTTCAAAAATCTAACAAACTCCAAGTAATCCTAAAAAAGACTACAAGACTTCAGAACCCTAAATGTGATTTGACAGAAGAAATGAATACTGGGAGGAAAAAAACTACTGAGTGAGGAAGAGTCTGAAGAAAGCACAAAAGATTACTTAGGAATGGGGAGGAAAACACACATAAAATACATATAAAACACAGTTTCAAAAGAAAAGCAGATGCAGCTTACACTCAGAATAAAAAAAATTCAAATTGGCTGGGATGTGCAGGCAGGTCTTCAATACTCCTAAAAGCCGGGCTAGTGACTACTGACTGGCAAACATGCTTTATTTGGCCAGCACAAGGTTTCAAACAATTCTGAATCAGCTGTCAACATGTAAAAGCTGGAAGATTTCTTTTTCAAACAACTGTGTGCCATTTCCTGGAAAACAGGGAACTGAAAGAACTATAAAAATCAGCCATGCAGCCACTCGGTCCTGGAGGTTCGGCCAGGTATATGCCCAGTGGCCCCAGCCTGCCTCATGCCATCAGACCACCTGCTAGTGCATCGGCCACCCTATTTTCAAGAACCAAGGCAGAAATGCAGCCTCCCCATTCTGCTTTCTACTTCCTGCACAGAGATCCTTTCCAACATGAGACATATTAACACAGAAACATGATAAAGATAATTTCAGTAAATTCTAGAATTTGCCATAGTGTTCTCATCCTTAGCTGCCCATTGGAATCACATGGGCGGGGGGGGTACTAAAAAATACTCATGCCTGGGTTCCACCCCTAGCGACTCTGATTCTTGGCCTGGGGCACAGTCTGGACATCAGGACTGCAGACAGTTCACACAAGATCCTAATGCATAGCATTGGTCCAAGAACTACAGGTTTAGAGATCGCAAGTTGCTGAGGATGAAGTGCCAAGTTCATTCCAGGACCAGTCTCCAAATACAAATCTCTTGCCTTTAAACACCATGATAATTCACATTACTTCTTCTTTTTGGGAAAAAAAAAAAAAGCCTACTATTTCAAAAGCCTGACAAATGCCATTTACAAACTAGAAACGAAGGTCAAAATGTGTTGTGGTTTCTACCATTCACTTTCCCTTCCAACATAAGAATAAAACACTAAGGAAATGAAGGGAAATTATCCTAAGACAAAACTCAGGCAGCACCAATAGCTCAAATACAGTAAGAAGAGGCACACAGTGGCAGGCTTGTATTAAAAAGTACAATTGCTTTGAAATTCATCAATGCACTAAGTGGAAAATTTTTCAAATATTAAAAAAAGAACAATTTCCTCAAGACTTCTCAGTAATGGCTCAATTTTTATCTTAAGAAGATGAATTCTAAATTACTACCTCTCTTCAAGCTTCATTAGGTACTGTACATTTTTATTTTGGTTTCTGAAAATGGGAAATGCAAACTACTGGCATCTAATTTTCAAACAGGAATACTACCTGATACTGTAGTTGAAACATGTATTTTCAAAATAATCTCACATAGTAAGACTGGCTTCTACTTACTGGACTTCCATCCAGTAGGCAGTATGCCAGGCACTTTAGACACTTGATCTCAAATCAGTCCAACAAGCTCACAAAGCTAATCTATCACTTTAGAAATTTTTTTCAGAAAGATTTAAAAATTACGTATAAGATCACAGAGTTAGTAGGTAGCAGCACTGGGACTCAAACTCAGGCCTGTCTCCCTAATCTATTTTCTTCCACCAAAATGCCTCATTTTATCATCACAGCCCACTGGCAGATAGATGTGGGCACAATTCCGTCCACACACTCATTAAAAAAACCAAAGAGGGTAATGAGCGGCTCCACATCGCGGAACAAGTTGGTGGGAGCCAAGGCTGGAACCTACCTTCCCACTCCCTGTCCCGGGTTCTTTCAGGGGACCAAACATAGTTCACGGTCCAGTTGTGTACTACTCAGGGACAGAAATCAAATCTTCCTGATTCCTGAGAATCTTAAAGCTTGCTATATATATGGCATGGCTTCAGCACAGGTCTGGGACACGGCTCACTTATTCCAGGCCACCTATGAATCAGCACCAGGTTCAGTTCCTTTATTTGTTCCAGAATCCTTGTGAACAATGATACTGGCAACATAAGGGAAAAGACACCCTCCATAGGACTTTATCCTATCCTTGGCTGCCCAGACCCCCTCACCAGACAACCAGCAGAATATCCTGAGGGGGGTGGACAAAATGTCATATGGATTTTTCTCCTTTATTTGTCAAACAATAATGAGACGGTCATAAAAATCCAGCTGGGAGGAGTCCGGCTCCCTGACCCCCCCTGCTGGAAGCAGGCTCCTGGGGGAGTTTATCGCTTTATGTCCTGGTGGGGAGATGTCCTCTTCTCAGCTGCTGGCACTGCACCCCCGCACCTGGAGTCCAGAAACTGGGACTAGGATGTGTGGTGGCCAAGACAGATTCTTGAAAGACAGCAGACGCACATGGCATCCCTATAAAAGAAAGCAAACAGGCTTTACCACCTAATAAACATACTCAAGCATCATACAGACTTGCTCTCTTCCGAAGCAACTCCAGAGTGTCTCTTGCATTCTATCATTACGGATAATTCTTGAAGAAACTCCGTTTTACCTCTTAATGATCTTCGAACAAAGCAACCAACTCATTTGACAGAGTCCAACCACCCAGAGGAGCCAGTACAGAGGAGTTAAGATACAGCTAGCAATGGAGGTCTTAATCATTCTGATGTGACAGAGCTGTGCTATGTGAACAAACCTCACCAAGCTTGGTCTCCCAACTGCCGGCAGCAAGAACAAACAGATGTCAGGGCTATTTGTTTTATTCAGAAATGACAGGAAATCAAAAATCTATCAAATGGATGTGTCAGCAGCAACGCCACAAGCATATTGGTAAGATTTATACGCCTCCATTTTGGCTTATGACAAAACTACCTTCTATGTTTCCAGTTTTCAGATACCCACTTGGACATACAGGTCCCAGAGTTCTACAAAGCATCTTCAATATATAATGTAGTGTATATGAATGTAAATTATGAAAAATTTGAAAGTTATAAAAATGTTAAATAATGTCTCATTATGCACATTGGTACAAATCCCGCAGTGTCTTTTTAAAATTAAAAATTGCAAAGCTGCCAAATTGAGTAATTATAAACCACATTCACACTATTGCCCTATCACAGTGTCACTTTACGTGCTAAATGAAACGCCAGTATTTCTACTCCACTATGTGCAATAGAAGTTCATGAGAATTTTTGTGATCAGTGTGGCTGGTATTTTAACTACACTGCTGTTACCATTTTTATGCCTTAAATAACATCATATAAGTTTTCACAAATCAACAGTAGAGGTAACTAACGCACAGAAAATAAACTGTCAAACTATAAACTCTGGCATAGAGGTAAGAGATAATTTCAAATGCAACATAAAAAATAAAATAAAATAATGGCCAAACAGGGGTGAGTGTTGTGGCACAGCAAGTTAGGCTGCTGCCTGAGACCCCAGTCTCATAACGAAGTGCCTGGAATTAAGCCCTGCCTCTGCTTCCAATCTTGCTTTCTGCTAACACACCTGGGAGGCAGCAGATGACAGCTCACCAGCTTGACTCAAATACTCCCTGCCACACACATGAGAAACTGAGACAGAGTCCCCAGCTCCCAGCATTGGCCGGGTCCAGCTTGGGCTGTAGTGGACATTTGGCAACTGAGCCACTGGGTGGAAGATCTCCCTCTCCCACCTCCCCTCTTCCTTACTCCCTCTCTCCTCTTTTGTCTCTCTCCCTTCCCTCTCTCTTTTTGTTAAAAAAAAAAAAAGCCAAATAATCACCAAAATATTCCTTGTACTTAATTTAGGATACTGACACACTTTTTTTAAAGGACCAGATAGTAAGTATTTGAGGTTTCTAAGGCTGTAAGGGCTTTGTTACAACTATACAGGTCTGCCATTGTAGGTCTGAACACAGTCAGTAGCACAGTTGTGCTTCAGTAAAACTGTATTTATCAAAGCAGACGGCAGGCTAACCTTGCCTTAAGGGCTATATAAGGTTTCCTGTCCAGCTCCTCCCCCAGTCCCCGCCCAGCCCCCACCACTTTGAACTGTGGAGCTAATTTCCCCCTTCTTTACATACTTTCAGACATTGCCCTTTTTTTTTTTTTCAGGAATGAAGGGTCAGATTTTTATAAATATTAGCAGACTCACAATAAAACCATTTAGGCTACTCCACAGACTTAGAGCTCACTCACTTAAGAGGAAAACCCGTCAACATTTGAGGGCTTGGTGGATGGACACTTCAGCGTCAGGGGCACAGCGCTTAAGCCCCAAGTCAGAGTTCAGGTCGTTTTCGTCCCCAGCTGAAGGAAAAGACAACTCAAGCTTAACGCTAACCCGGTGCATCAGAGCGAGCGGAAACGAGTCCAGGGCGCTCCCCTAGAGGAGTCACCGAGAGGAGAGAAAGGGATGGACGGGGGGAGGAAGAGAGAGACAGACAGACAGACTTCCATCCACTAGTTCATTCCCTAAATGCCCACAACAGACAAGGTTGGGCCAGGAAGGAAGAACTCAAGCCAGGTCTCCCTCACAGGTGGCAGAGACCCAACAGCTTGAGCCATCATCTGCCGCCTTCTAGACTGTGCCTTAACAGGAAGCCAGGTAGGAAGTGGATCCAGGACTCAAAGCAGGGACTCCAATGTGGGACGCAGGCATCTCAACCAAAACAGCATCTGCTCCACTGCACCACATGCCCGCCCCACCCCTTCTCTTAATACAGCATCCTACTGTTCATAAAACAGTTCCCCACCACCGCCCACAAGCATTCCTCCATTTTCCATACAATTATTTTTGATAAAATGAAAAAATAAAGCACATTCAGTGTTTGAAAAAGTCTGTAAAATAGTCAAGAAAATGGGAAGTGGGAAAAGACAGGAATAAGCTGGCAGTGCGGCTGCAGCACCAAATTATAATGGTGGGGATGACTGCATAACTCTGTCAGAAGTCACCAAGCTGTATACTTACAATCAGTCAATTTAATTGTATAGAAATAACATTGTAATGGCGCTGATTCTGAAAAAGCTTAAAGCCTCAGCAACAGTCTTTAATTTATAATAATTTATGTGGTATCAGCATATTTGAGGGGATTTCAAAATGTTCACCAAAAAATGAAATTCAAATATGTTTGTTTTGGTGCAAAAAAAATTAAAGTCATGAAAAACATACACTTTCCATAAATTTTTTGAAGTTCCCTAGCATAGATCCCCTACTTTATATTTGCTCCTCTGAAAAATCTGGACATGAATTTTGAAGATTTGATTAATTAATCCTTAAGGAATTCTGGTGCATTGAATTAAATGCAACTGTCTCATACTAAACCCCTGTAGTGTCCAACCTTCAACCACTTCACTCAACAAATGGAAATAGGGCTTTTTACAAAAAAAAAAAAAAAAATACAAAGCTCTGAGTTCATGACTTTTCCCTCAACCATAGTAAGGAAACAAAAAAAGAAAGAAGAAAACAGGTAATTTAAGATAACAGATAACACTGTAGACATTTTTATGTTCTCATCTTCACTAGCAACAGTTTAAATCCAACCTGATTTAAAACACCAAGTTGATGTGAGCTTCTCCTCCTCTCTTTTCAGTTATATTTGCTCCAATGTACAGCCTGCAAACACTCAAGCAATTAAAAGTAGACAAACATGAAGAGACCGAGACACTCAATCACAGAAAAGCTATACAAAGAAAATCATCCCTCCAAGGTCACTGAATAAACAATGACTTCAAAACCCCAGCTGACAGCTTTCTCAGTGCCCTCACACTCCATCTGCCTCCAGCCAGATGTGAACTCATTCAACACATCCCTTCACGAGTGTGGTCCTCAGACCAGCATCATCTTTACCTGACAACTTCCTGAAAACACAAATGCTCGAGCCCCATCTCCAGGCCTGCAGAATCAAAACTCTGGGTGTTGAGACCCCACCCCCACCCCACCCAATATCCTGCCGAAGAGTCTGGTGTCCCTAAGAGTCTCAAAGCCATTGATTTGCTACTGGAATACCAGTAAGTATATACTTGTCCCTTGCAGCTTCATATGCTCAGGGCTCCATGATGCCCTGGTGAGGGTCATTGCTGCGGGATCCATGCTCACATCGAGGACTCCATGGATCCTCTGTGGTTCTTGAGGCAGCACAAATGAATACTGTACCCACTGGGGCTAGCGATCAGGCATTGGTCTCCTTGGAGGAGAGGAAGTGAGCGTGAGACTACACCAACAGAGCAGATTAAACCTTCCCACTGATTAAAAAAAAAAGGAGATTTTTCCATGCCCAATTTGGGTGTTACCTTGGACACTCCCCTCACCCTGGAGGACTGACCAGAGCTCCCTGGCAACATCCAGCACATGCCTCAGGGTATTCACTGAAAGAGCAGACACTCCACTAATCCACAGAAGCATAGTCCAAAGGTAAAAATCATCACAGGGGGAAAAATACCAGCAAGTATCTCTACAAACACCCAAAAAGTAACACAGCAGTTCAAGAAACAAGAATAAGGAAGACAACATGATGCCTCCAAAGAAACACAACAACACTACAATACCAGAATGTGAAAATGAAGAGAATGAAGAAATGTCAGAAACAGAATACAAACAACTGATCATAGGATTACTTAGAAGTAATCAGAAAGGGCCAGCACTGTGGTATAGTGGGTAAAGCCACTGCCTACAATGCTGGCTTCGTATATGGGCACCAGTTCAAGTCCTGGCTACTCCACTTCCCATCCAGCTCTCTGCTATGGCCTGGAAAGGCAGTAGAAGATGGCCTAAGTCGTTGGGCCCCTACACCCACGTAGGAGACCTAGAAGAAGTTCTTGTCTCCTGGCATTGGATTGGCATAGCTTCAGACATTGTGGCCATCTGGAGTGAACCAGCAGATGGAAGACCTCTCTCTCTCTCATGCTGCGCCTCTGCCTCTCTGTAATTCCACCTTTCAGTGAATAAAAATAAAAAAAAAAAATCTAAAAAAAGTAATCAGAAGCAAATTAATTAACTAAAGAAATCCATACATGAAATGAAAGAAAATTTTTTTCATGAAATTGAGATTTTAAAGAGAAATCAAAACAAAATATTGGAAATGAAGAATTCAATAGAACACATAAAAAATGAGGTAGAAGGCCTTAACAGCAGAATCGGTGGGGCAGAAGAAAGAATGTCTGAGTTAGAAAACAAATCTTTGGAAACTTTAAAGTTAAACCCCCCCTCCAAAAAAAAAAAAAAAAAGATGAAGAAGAAGAGGAAGAAGAAATTAATAAACTAAAAAACAGTATCTGAGATTTATGGGATACTATCAAATGACCCAACATATGAGTCTGAGGAGTTCCTGAAGGGGTGCAAAGAGTGAATGGATTAGAAGGTGTTTTAGTGAAATAATTACAGAAAACTTCCCTAACTTGGAGAAAGAAAGGGACATTCAAGTACAGCAATCACATAGAACTCCTAATAGACATAACCAGAAAAGATCCTTACCACAACACATTGTAGTCAAACTCTCCACAGTAAAACATAAAGAAAAGATTCTAAAAATGTACATGAGAGAAATGCCAGATTACTTTCAGACAATCTCCAATTAGACTCACAGCTGACTTCTCATCAGAAACCCTACAGGCTAGGAGAGAAGGGTGAAATATATTCCAAGCCTTAAGAGAAAAAAAAAAATTGTCAACCCAGAATAACGTACCCTGCAAAGCTCTCATTTATAAATGAAAGTGCAATGAAGTCCTTCCAGACAAACAGAAATTGAAAGAATTTGTCTCCACTCGTCCAGCCTTACAAAAGATGCTTAAGAATGTGCTACACACAGAAACACAGTCATCACTATGAAAGAAGGTGAAGGCGGAAAATCTCCCAGTAAAAGTACAAAGGAAATCCAAAGTACAAGAGGAATATTTATGGAAAAACTGCAGGGCCAATTGTTACTTATCAATAGTCACCTTGAATATAGATGGCCTCAACTCTCAAGTTAAAAGATACAGACTGGCTGAATGGAAAGAAAAAAAATCTACTTGTTGCTTACAAGATACACCTCACCAACAAAGATACACACAGACTGAAAGTGAAAGGATGGAAAAAGATATTCCATGCTAACATAAGCCAAAAAAGAGCTGGTGTAGCCATCCTAATATCAGACAAAATAGACTTTAACACAAAAACTGTTAAGAGACAAAGAATGGCATTTTCCAATGATGAAGGGATCAATTTAACAGGAAGATATATAAATATATATGCACCTAATTACAGGGCACCTGGCTATTTAAAAGAAATGTTAATGGATCTAAAGGGAGACACAGACTTCCACATAGTAGTAATGGGGGACTTCAATACCCCACTTTCAGCCATGGACAGATCAACCAGACAGAAAATCAGCAACAAAACCAACAGTTGATCAACACTACAGACCAAATAGAGCTAACAGGTATCTACAAAACTTTCCATCCTACAGTTGCAGAATATACATTCTTCTCACCAGTGTATGGAACCTTCTCTAGGATAGACCACATGCTAGGCCTTAAAGCAAGTCCCAGCAAATTAAAAAAAAAAATCGAAATCATACTATGCATCTTCTCTGACCACAATGGGATGAAGCTGGAAATGAACAACTCAAGAATCTCCAGGGGCAGATGGGCTTGGGAGGCTCCTCAGAGGGAGGGTGGCAGTGGTGGAGGTAGAGGTTCCTCCTGGCCCTGTTAATGTCGGGGCCAGGCCCAGGAAGGATGGCACCCTAGAGCCTGGCCTTGCTGAGGCAGGAGCAGGAGGGGATAGGGTGGGGCCTGGCCATGCCAGAGGTGACCCAGTCTGCTGTAGTGCTGGGGCACCAGTTTTAGGAGAGGAACGGACTTCAACTCCTGGGGTCAGCTGGTGGAGACGATAGATGAGTATCAGATATTAGCAAGACAGCTACAAAAAGAAGTCCAAGCTCAACACAGGAATGCCAAAATCACTGAAGAACAAAAGAAAACCATAGGCAAAATTGCAACATGCTTGGAATTGCAAAGTTCAGCTTTACAGTCCACACAGTCCCAAGAAGAAGACCTGAAGAAGCTAGAACTGATCCTAAAGAATATTCTTATATATGATAAAGAATTCCTGTTTGATGTTCAGCCTGTACCATTAAGAAGAATTTTAGCACCTGGTGAAGAAGAGAATTTGGAATTTGAAGAAGATGAAGAAGAGGGTGGTGCTGGAGCAGGCTCTCCTGCTTCTTTTCCTGCCAGAGTTCCTGGGAAGTAAAGAATGGAGCATAAGCTTTTTTTATCTATGGGAAAGCTCAACGAGGGTCTTACCTCTCTGTAAATAACCTAGGCAAGCATCCTGGGCAGGAGAATGGGGCTAATCACAGGACACTGCAGCAGTCCCCTGAGGACGCAGCTGCCCCACATGCACACAGGCTTCCCTTGCACAAGCCCTTCTTGCTTCCCACACTGCTGTAGCTATGACAATACTCTGCCTTGTTGCTAGAATCTGCAAGAATGCTGGCACCAGCAGGCAACTCAATGGCTGCCATGAATTATGACAGTGTCAGGTTTTCTGTTTTAACAAGGGAGGAAAAGCTTCTCACAGAGCCATCCAGCTATTGACAGACACCATCAGTGCACCTGCCAGCACAGCTCTCAGAGACACGCAGGAAGCCTGGACATTCAGGCCAGTCTGGACTTAGCTTGCTTGCGGCCTTTGCAATAGGAAAATGTTTCTTGATTTTTCACTGTCATCTGTAGCTCTTACAATGCCACAAAATGGCATTTATTTATTGGCAAAGTCTGTAGACTCAGTAGAGAAGCTGTTAACTGTAACATAAAACTTCTTCAAACTCCGGTGATATGCCTTAATTGTGTCAGCTGTTGATTTTACTGTTTGAGAGTAGAACCTGTGCAATATCTTATACTGTATTTTGTTAGAAAACCTGAGTAAAATTTCACATGCTGGCTAAATTAATAATCTCTTTTTTGTTATAACACAATACTTGAAGCATGATAACTTTTTAAAGAAAAGAAGTTTATTTAGCTCACTATTTTGGAGGCTCAGAGGCATTTGCTGGCATTGCTGAGCTCTGGTGAGGGGCCATGCAGTGGTGGTATCAGACAGGAACTCACGGTATCAGACAGGAAGCTGGAAAGATTTAGGTCCTACAGCCCCTGACAAGAGCACAACCCCAGTTAACCTAACAACGTGGCCTAAAATTCCACCACCACACTGAGGACCCAGCCTCCAACACAAGAAACTCTGGACAGACCATATACTGCCCACAGCACTGGCATTGTTAGATGTTCATTAACTGTGTGACTTCCTCTTGGCATTAAGTTATGCTACTGAGCCATTTGCTTTTTTAATGATTTTTTAAGCTGAATATGACTTTTTAAAAAAGCTTTATTTTAAATGGTGATTAGGACCGCAAAATAATGTCACCTTTAGTTGTCAATGGATATTACTTACAACCAAGTGATTTTAATTTTTTTGACCCATAGCTACCATTGTAAATTGAGACAGAAGGAAGAACCCAGAAACACATCCACACTTGATTCATGACTGAGATAGATTGCAGGAGTATGGGAAAATTGTAGTCTTTTTCATAAGTAGTGTTGGGACTGTTGAGTATGTATGTTGAATAGGATGAAATTGGGCTCCAATAATACACCATGGACAAAAATGAATTCCATGTACAGTACAGAATTAAATGTGAATGGCAGTGGGCCAGCGCTGTGGCGTAGCAGGTAAGGCCGCAGCCTGCAGGACTGGCATCCCCTATGGGTGCCGGTTCAAGTGCCAGCTGCTCCACTTCTGATCCAGCTCTCTGCTGTTACCTGGGAAAGCAGTTGAAGATAGCACCTGCATGGGAGACCCAGAAGAAGCTCTTGGCTCCTGGCTTCAGATCAGCCCAGCTCCAGCCGTTGGGGCCATTTGGGGAGTGAACCAACAGATGGAAACCTCTCTCTCTCTTTCTTTGCCTCTCTGTAACTTTGCAGTATGAATAAATAAATAAATCTTTTTTAAAAAATACTTGGTGGAGCTGGTGTTGTGGCACAGCAGGTAAAGCCGCTGCCTGTGCTGCTGGTATCCCATATGGGCACTGGTTTGCATCCTGGATGCTCCTCAATGCAGCCAAGTCTTCCCTGGATCTCACACTAGTTACCCAGCTGCATTCACCCTGTGAAAATTCAGTAAGCTATATTTCAGATTGGTGCATTTTTAAACATATATGCCATGCTTCAATAGTATGTTTATAAAGGAAAACTGCAATTTGTAAATCATATAACCAACAAAAGATTCATATCAAACTATTAGAGACTTCCTACAACTCAAGAAGATGATTACATCAATAGAAAAATGGGCAAAATAACTGAACAGAAACTTCAAAAACAAGGAAAACCAGAGGCTCTATCTAACATGAAGATATGTCCAGCCTTATTAATCTTTGGAGAAAGGCAAATTAAAGTGAGATCGGGGGCCATATATCATGGTACAGTGTGCTAACCCATTACCTGCAATGCTGGCATCCCACGTGAACACTAATTCAAGCCCAAGCTGTTAACAATTCAGTACAGCTCCTTGCCAATGTGCGTGGGAAAGCAGAAGACAGCCCCAGGGCTTAGGCCCCTTCTACCCTGGATGGAGCTATAAGCTTCTAACTTTGGCCTGGTCATTGAGGCCATTTGGGGAGTAAACAAGCAGATGGAAGATCTCTCTGTCTCTCCCACTCTGTAACTCTGCCTTTCAAATAAATAACTATATCTTAAAAAAAAAAAATCTCTAGAACATATGCAAACACATGGAGACTGAACAACATGCTCCTGGATGAACCGTGGGACATAAAGAAATCAAAAGAGAAATCAAAAAACTGTTGAGGAACAGGTTTTTTTTTTTTTTCATACTATTTGTTGAACTCTTTACTTAGTATAGAGTTAATCTTCTGTGTATAACGTTAATTGAAAATAGATCTTAGTAAAAAACAAGAATGGGAATAGGAGAAGGAGGAAGAAGGGTGGTGTGCGGGTGGGAGAGTGGGTATGGTGGGAAGAATAACTATGTTCCAAAAGTTGTCTTTATGAAATGCATGAAGTTTGTGTACCTTAAGTAAAAGGCTTCTGGGAAAAAAAAATACTTGCCCCTTATAAGTGGAGGACCTCATGTCTTTGCTTAACTAAGAGCTAACTTTAGATGCAGCCCCCCGTGTAACATGGGATCTGAGCCCAGGCACAGGTGCAGCAGGGGTTGTGAGCATCACAAATAAGCCAGCACAAAAAACAGGGAGAAGTGGCCAGGTTCTTCTCTACAATTTCTAAGGAGCAGAATGGGTGTAGGAGTAAACCATAGTTAGATTTAATTCTTACATTTTATATGCACCTCCCATGTGCCTTGCCTGCACCAAATAAAACTATCTCAATTAGCCTTTCCAATAATAATGAAATCTACTTTTACTTCTAAGTATGCAGAGACTTAATCTTAATCAGAAGGGGTCCAGAGGCAGGCATGTGGCTCAAGGGTCATGACACCACTTGCGGCACCTGCAATCCATATTGGAGTTCCTGGGTTTGAATTCTGGTTCCACTTCCCATCTGACTTCCAGCTAATGCACATTCTAGAAGGTAGCAGGTGATGGCTCAAGTACTTGAGTCCCTGTCAATACACTTGGGAGAACTAAATTCAGTTCTAGATGCCTGGCTTCAGTCTGACTCATTCCCAGTGGACATTTGGGGAGTGAATCAGTAGAAGGAAGATTTCTCACAGTGTTTGTCTCTCTGCCTTCCAAATAAATAAATAAAACTTTTAAAAGGAATGGAGTGCAAGCTGCAAACAAGCAGAAGCACTTTACAGTTCTCCAACCACGGGTTCACAGTCCTCACCAGCCTGCCTTGAATGCTGAGGAAGCTTCCTTTTGCTTCTCCTTTGCCTAATTGCTCTCAAACTGTTTTGTATATCACAACCTGAATACCAGGTCACTTATACAAAATAATGTGTCCTGAGGCCAGCGCTGTGGCACAGCTGGTTAATGCCCTGGCCTGAAGCGCCGGCATCCCATTTGTGCGCCGGTTCGAGACCCAGCTGCTCTACTTCCTGTCCAGCTCTCTGCTATGGCCTGGGAAAGCAGTAGAAGATGGCCAAGTCCTTGGACCCCTGCACCCACATGGGAGACCCGGAAGAAGCTTCTGGATCCTGGCTCTGGAATGGTGCAGCTCCGGCCATTGTGGCCAATTGGGGAGTGAACCATCGGATGGAGGACCTCTTTCTCTCTCTCTGCTTCTCCTGTCTATGTGTAACACTTTCAAGTAAAAATAAATAAATCTTTAAAAAAAATGTGTTCTGTACTCTGAAGCCAACATAAGAAATGTGGAGGTAATTCTGAACTACCTACAGCAATGCTTGCTTACTAAAAGGTTTCACCACCGCTCCGATGCTAAAAACCTATGTCTCATAAATATTCTAAGATATAAATCCCTCATATTCACTTATTTTGGACATTCATCTTTTCTGAATTACCTCTGTCCTGCTCTTTCCACCAAGCCCTTCTCCTTGATCTAAACAACAACAATTCTGAGGAGAGGAAGTGTCACTTGAGTTTATACCATTTGCCCAAAACCAGAGGTGGCACGTACTCCAGCATGAGCACCACCCTGCTTCCACCCTCTGCCCACGGCAGATACTACAAATCAATCCAGGGGTCCTTCTCAAGGCCTCAGAATCCTTCTCAACAGCACTTCAAACAGCCACCTCCAATCAGTGGGAATATATATGATTAACAAGATATATTTTGTTTCATTAGCCAATCAACATGCCCCTTTCTTGATTCCCTTCCTCCTCTAATTACACTGTAAATCCTTCCATTTATTGTTCTCAAAGCAATACAATTAAGCCTCAGTTAATCCCAAGTCACAGTCTTCACAGATCTATGACACCTTCAGGGTCCTCATCCTAGCAGACTGTGCTGAACACTTTTAACACTTTGAATGCCAAACCAGAACAGAGTAGAAAACTATTCTAAAAATCAAAGCAGCAAGTAAATAAAGGTGCTGAACAGATAACAAAATACCTGTAAAATAGTAAGCTGTGTACACACCAGGGAAATGCTCAACACGAATAGCCCAGGGAGGCTGATGCTGAGCGTCAAGCTCATAGCACGGAAACCTCGCTTCAGTAAATAGTTCTGATTTTGCTTTCAGTACTTACTGATGATTCTTTATTCCACTAAGGGGGCACCACACTGTTCCTTCAGCAGCATCTCCATTATTCTAATTCCCTAGAGAGAGAAAAAAGAAAAATCAAAACGCCATATTTCAGAGACAAGCCCTTGTGCCACCACCTCTTTCCTTCAAGGAATGCAGGTCATGCTCACATACTCATTTCAGGAAAGTAGGCTCATCATCACACCCTATGTTTTTATAATATTTTACTTAGCAATTTCACCTACACTATCACCAGACACTCAGAACTACTCAAAAAGAGGGGCAGAGCAGAGTTTAAACACAAGAAAACAGCCCAAGAGAAGTTAACCTTAGCAGCGCGTTGCTAAGTGGCATTGCCAGAGCTGGAGCACTGGTAAGAGTTAATAGTTATTGAACACTGGGACATGTGCTGGGTTTGCTACTAAGGCTTTACATGCACTGTCTCGGAAGTGGGTGCTATGTGCCTGACTGAAGGTCCCCTCCAGAACTGCAGAGTTCCTTCCCCTGTGGACCCACACCGCAGGCTGTTGCTGACAATCAACCACAATCAGCCAAAGGGAGTTGTCTTCCCTGAAAGCATCCTCTCCATGGGAAGCCTACATTCAGCAAGTGGTAGATGTAGGCCCACAGAGGGATGGCCCCCTTTCCTCAACTTGAAACAGCTCTAAAAGGCATCCCCCCTCCACAGCTCCTCACAGGGTCAGCTGAGACCTTCGTTGCAATGTCAACATCACCTTTTCCTAAGCATGCTTCTCCCACAAGAGCTGTTCATCAGAGCCCCTCCAGTACCCTCTGCATGCAAATCTCCACCTCTGAACCTAGGTCCCAAAAGCCAACCTAGGACCCTTTATTTAAGACACATGGAGGGGCAGGCACTGTAGCCCAGCAGGTTAAAGCCCCAGCCTGCAGCCCTGGCATCCCATATAGGCTCTGGTTCAATTCTAGGCTGCTCCACTTCTGATCCAGCTCTCTGCTATGGCCTGGGAAGGCAGTGGAGGATGGCCCAAATCCTTGGGCCCCTGCACCCATGTAGGAAGACCTGGGGGAAGCTCTTGGCTCCTGGCTTCAGATCAGCACAGCTCCAGCCACTGTGGCCACTTAGGGAGTAAACCAGCAGATAGATGGAAGACCTCTCGCTCACTCTCTCTTTCTCTGCCTCTCCTTCTCTCTCTGTGTAACTCTTTCAAATAAATAAATAAATCTTTAAAAACAAGACACATGAAGTCCTTGAATGAGCACTATTCTTACTCCTATTAGTACAGAGGAGGATACAACTAGAGGTGTCAGTAATGTCCCAAAGTTACATAGCTATCAGGAGCAACGCCAGCGAGAGAGCTCAGGCACACTACTCTGATTTCAGAGCTATCCCTTCACCTGCCAGAAGCACTCATTTCACAGCTTCTCAAATCAACCGTCCCTGTCCAGTAATATTACCCTGGAGGAAACAAGAAAGCAGCAGTTGCTTCCCCTCTTCAGAGACAAGTTCTCCAGCCAGAGGATAACCCCTCAAGTGGAAGGACCCAGTCATAAGGTAACTGTGAAACAGAACCTAAAAGAAGTCAAAGCTGGGTCCAGGGGGAACAGACTCATGAATCTCAGAGACTAGAAAGTACTTTGGAAAGAATGATAAAGATGAAAGGAATACAAAATGCATGAACCCATTCCCTCCCAGAAAGTCTCTGACTGAACAGGTCCCAAAGTACTTTTGTTAGGAAGCACTCACATGACCCCCTCATCCCAGAAAGTCTGGGAAATGCTGAGTGGTCCCACAGGGCAAGTCAGGGACTTAAGACCTGGGATTTGTTCTGAGTCAAGGGATGGGAGTGGGATAATCAAAGGCAAAATTAGAGCGAACAACAAAATATATTTAACAGCAACGTAGACTGACTGAACAAAAGTTAGCATTTCCTTAAGGAGCCAGGTCCTTCAAACTCTGCCAGGCCATTGCCCCAAAAACTGCCAGTGTCTTGGAAGGAAGGGGCATTCAAGGGCCCTCAGAGAACTCTGAACAGCATGCAGTATTGGCTCAAGCAACACATCAAACCGTAGGGCCAGGAGCGCTATCATCAAGACCAGAAGACATGGATCCCAGCCCCAAAAATCACTCTGCTGACTACTTAAGCTGATCACTTTTACCAAGGAGTAACTTAAGACTTCAGCAATCAGTGAGCTTTAAGGCCAATTGGATCAGTGCTGCACAATGGAATTAATAGGGGAATCCACAAAAGCAAACGAAGATTCCCAGGTCTTGGCAACTGACTCAATCACAAATTCCAGGGGGGAATCCAGAATCTATGCGTGTGTAAAACACTTATGTGATATTTTTACATGGAGATTTATTTATTTATTTGAAAGGCAGAGTTATAGAGAGAGGGAGATGGAGATGGGTTGAGAGAAAGAAAGAGATCTTGCATCTCCTGGTTCACAGCACAAACATCTACAACAGCCAGGGCTAGGCCAGTCTGAAGCCAGGAGCCAGGAGCCCCATCCTGGTCTACCCACATGAGAGGGACCCACACACTTGGGCCATGATCCACTGCCTTCCAGGCACATTAACAAGAAGATGAACAGGAAACGGAGTAGCCAGGATGTACACTGGCACTCCAATATGAGTTACCAGTGTAACAGTGGCTTAACCTGCTGCACCACAAAACCAGCTCCTACTTAAGTGATTTTGCACATAATTAGTCTATTTACTAGAACTTGTATATAATAGGATTTTTTAAATGATTTTATTTATTTGAGAGACAGAGTTTCAATGTGCTGATTCATCCCAAATATCCACAAAAGCTGGGGCTGAGCCCAGCAGAAGCTGGTAGCTAGGAACTCAGTCTAGGTCTCCCAAGTAAGTAGCAGAAACCAAATCACATGATCCATCACCTCAGCCTCTCAGGGTCTCTATGGCAGGCAGCTAGCATCAGGAGCCAGAATGGGTAATTGAACCCAGGGCCTCCCATGCAGGATGGGGACATCTTAACTGCTAGGTAAACAGTGCTCCTAAAGAGCAGCTTTATACCACTTCTGAAACCCCTTCCAACTCTGCTAGTCTTGGAATTGGTGAAACAGGGTTCCTAATCATTTCTGAAGATGAAGTATGCACTGTACATTTAGAACCACTCTCTTCTGAGGAACTGAAGGGACAGCAGGCACAGGTGGGAGATGAAACAACCAGTGGAGTGAAATTCAACCAAATTCTTAACACAAGACCTGAATCGTGCTTATTTCTGCTCATTTCTCATACACTCAATAGTTTTGATTAATGATACTTCATTATGCACCCACTGCTTGCACTGGAGATTCAATGGTGAACAGAGAAGATGAAGTCCCTGCCCTCACAGAACGTAGTCTGGTAGAGTTCAGCCCAGTTCCAATTTTTTTCAGCAAACCTCTAGACATTAATTTAATTAATTAATTAATTAAATGTCTTCCTTCTACTTTGAGGAAGAAAAAAAACTACCATATTAATTCCCTCCCCAGCCTCCTTTTCTGGAACAGATGCATAAATCTAGATGGTGTGTTTTTAAAACAAGAAAAGCACACTCCCTCCTCGGGAAGCAAGAACCTTTGAACTCTCCCATCCATCTAAATGAAGGTCGCCGCCACTTGCTGAACCGAACATTAATTGACATAAGTGAAGATGCTGAGGTTTGCCTTGGGAATTCAAAGACTTTATTTATTGAATCAATTATGTTCACAATGTGACAGTTGATTTTTCTTCTTTTCCGTTCTCTCATACCACTTCAGTCTTTTTAAGCAGAACAGATACAGAAAGTGGAAAACTGGGGCAGTGGGAGTGGTCTAAAAGCGAATTTTTTTAAAAAAGGGAGAACCTAACAGGGAGACCAAGCTATTATTTAGTACCTCTCTTTGGCAAGAAAGTACCAAATCAAAACCCAATCAATAGAGTCCTTTCAAAGTTTGTTCCAATGCTTAAATCTCAAACCCCAGAAGATCAGGCATAAAGGGTATACATTTATACCACTTGTCACAAAATGATGCCTGAAATGCAGAACAAACCTTAAGTGGATCCACCTTTACAGATACAGCTTAAAAGCTTTCTGGACTGACAAACCATAAACCAGCTTGATTTTATTATTTCTTTCCCCTCAGAGAGTCTTCTTCTCTATTATAAGGCTATCTTTCTCTATTTGCCAACATACAGATAAGTGAGCTATCTCATAGTCTCATTTCCCTAACACCAGAGCCGTGTAGGCCAACATATCCCCACAAAGGAGTCCCAGCGCCTTTCAGATCCAAAACACTTCACAAATACCCCTCTGATCATTACTGAAAACACAAAGCTTGTCGTAAGAGGAACAGAAAGAAGTCAGAAGCAAAGGCAGCTAAATCCAGACAGTGTATTTATTTTGTTATCAAACCAATGCTTCCTTAAGAAGCTCTGATTTACCTAGGGAGTTCCAAAGAGAGTAATATTTAGACCTTACAAGCTCTAAAGCAGTTCTCAAAAGGTACATCCACGCAGAGCTCTTAACAAAAGAGAACTGCTCACTTAATTATCACGATGACAAAAGCTTGGTGTTAGAGACTCCCAACAGAAATAATGCTTCCTGTGGATCACGGCTTCGGAGCAAACACCAGAAACAGCAGCAGCACTCGCTGCATGTGAGGGACTGCACTGAGGCCGCAGGGAACAGGGATGCATAGAAGACTCGAGGGGTCACTGGTCTTTTGGGAGGATACAGAGGAATTCAAAAGAACTGAAAGGCTAGCCAGTCTCTGAGAAGTCTTAGGATGTCTAAAAGGAAAAAGTACAATGGAAGAAAGGAGGTCAGAAATGGTCTTGCAGGAAGGGAAGACTTGTAGAAGCCACAGAAAGAGAAAGATTTGAGGATGACCCAGAGGCTGGCAGAGGCGGGCTTAGGAAAAGGCACGGTGGTGGTGGTGGGAAGCATCTGCAGCACTCCAGCAGTTAACAATTGCTCCCTGCAGGGTGGTAAGCAGCACTGGATACAGCAAGAGTGAAGACCCTTTCACTTCCCACCTGTCTACTCTGACAATCACCCATCCCCCAGCACACAGATTCTGCCCTACTTTTGCTCGCTTCTTTTGTGAA